GGAAATATTTTAAAAGAGTCATATCCTAGAGAAGAAGATAATACAATAAAAACCAACGAAGCTAGAATTTATTTCCTATTACTTTTCCATTATATATAGTTGTCCGATTTTTTAAATATTTAATTCAAAATTCAGAAATATTTAAAAAATAACATTCCCAAAAGTAAAAGGTAATATTTCAAAAAACACCGAAGCAAGAATTTTTTTAACGTTTTCTTTTCCGATCCTTCCTATGGGAGCTATAAGATATAGTTGTCCGAACCGGTCGGTTCCGACATATATACTACCTGCAATAGAAAGAAAACTTTTGGGAAAGTTTCATCCCGATAGCTCAAAATCTGAGAGACTAGTTTGCGTAGAAACGGACGGACAGACGGACATGGCTAGATCGACTCGTCTAGTGATGCTGATCAAGAATATATATACTTTATGGGGTCGGAAACGTCTCCATCACTGCGTTGCAAACTTCTGACTGAAATCATAATACCCTCTGCAAGGGTATAACAAAACATAAGTGAACGTTAACTTAAAGTGGTTATTTTCATAAAATTCTAAGGTTGTAATAACAAATTTCTTTATTTTTCTACTCTTTTTCTAGTAACAAATTTACTTACACAATCCCAAATGTTGTTCACAAGATAACTAAGACCTCTTATATTCACAAAATGCCTAAACCATAACTGATTTCACAAAATGTATTTGCAAATTTAAACAAACAAAACCAATAACTAATGTAATCTATTTTCAAAACTTTAAACGCAAAATAAAACAAACACGCATAAGAAAGCACAAAAAATATAAAACTTTTAATTGATTTTGTTATTTGGTGAAGGAGGATAACACTAGTTTACAAAATAATATTCTTGGTGTGCTCCCCAGCAATTGATGGCAAATTCTGTTAGTGCTGGACCCCTAGATCACAAAAATAGCACTTATTTTTTTTTCGATCGCACAGTTTTTTTTTAAAGATTTTTTAAAGTTCGAAATGTTAAATTTCGGACTTTTTTCAATTTTCTTCTTATATCTCGGCAGATATCCACGCGGTTGGGCCAGTTTTAGTTTTATTTTAAAGTCAATAGATCAGAGCTTAACTTTGCCATACAGATCAATACGATTGGATGAGTAATGGCAGCGCAGAAGCTCGACAAAGATTAAAAATGTGTTTTTTGGTCGTCTGTAAGTCGGCTGTATATATCGTAAAAACTCGAAATAAATTCGTTGAAAAATCATAATGGGTACAAACTTAAAGTTTACATCCTACCGAATAAAACAAGCCGGATATGGCCCAAATCCATGGAAAATTGGATTTATGGTGGATTTTTAAAGTTCGGATTTTTCCACTTTTTTCGGTTGACAGAGTCCAAATTTAAGATTTATCATAGGCGGCGACATGTAAACAAAAATGAGTGGTGACGGCAGCCTGGTCAAAAAATAGCTAAATTTAAAAGCTAGAAAATTATAAAATAAATTTAATTTCTGAAAATTCCTTTAAAAATATAAAATTGCTTGCGTTATGACTGTGAGTATTTTTAACTAAGTACTATCCATTTGGATAGTTCATTCTTATGAAAAAAGTAACCTTAATTAAAAAATTAAATTCATTTTAATAATTTTCTAGCTTTTAAATATCTGATTTAGCTATTTAGTGACCCGGCTGCCAACACCAATTATTTTTGATTACATGTCGCCGCCTATGATAAATCTTAAATTTGGACTCTGTCAACGGAAAAAAGTCTAAAAATCCGATCTTTAAAAATCCACCATAAATCCAGTTTTCCATGGATTTGGGCCATATCCGGCTTGTTTTATTCGGTAGGATGTAAACTTTAAGTTTGTACCCATTATGATTTTTCAACGGATTTATTTCGAGTTTTTACGATATATACAGCCGACTTACAGACGACCAAAAAACACATTTTTCATCTTTGTCGAGCTTCTGCGCTGCCATTACTCATCCAATCGTATTGATCTGTATGGCAAAGTTAAGCTCTGATCTATTGACTTTAAAATAAAACTAAAACTGGCCCAACCGAGTGGATATCTGCCGAGATATAAGAAGAAATTCGAAAAAAGTCAGAAATTTAACATTTCAAACTTTAAAAAATCTTAAAAAAAAAACTGTGCCATCGAAAAAAAATTTAGTGCTATTTTTGTGATCTAGGGGTCCAAATCTAACAGATTTTGCCATCAATTGCTGGGGAGCATTTCGGCTGTAAACTAGTGTAATAGATCAGGACATAATTAATTTGAAATGAATGCTGACAGCTCATTTAAAACACTCTGCGGTAATTTAAACCTATGCGCACTGGCGAAGCCGATCACAAATTTTTCCAAAAATACGTTTGTTTTTTTTAAAGAAAGTGACTTTATGCCGAAGTTTCAAAGAATTTGACCTTGTAGTCTCTTTTACCACATTTTTTCAAAGTTAAAAATTCTCAAATATTAAAATAAATAAATAAAATCCAGAAGTTTGAGATACCTAATGATAAAGCGTTTGACTTCATCACGAAACTTTTTAAAGTAATTATTTTCAACAAGTACAAAATATATTAAAGCTCGTATGACTTGTTTCCAAAGTAGTACCGTGCTTTTCAAGTGATTAAGCGTGTCATCCCCAAAAGAAGTCATTACTTCAAAAATAAATTCTTTGACTAATTTACTAACATTGCTCATCGCCGACTCGATGCAGGTTTGCCTTGGTTTTCGGAAATCGTTTTCTTTTAAAATTTTCTTTTTTCTTTTTTTATATGCATGGCCTAATTTCGTTATACAAAAAATAAAAATGTTGCATTTAAGCTTTCAATATATAAATTAACGGCACATGAAGTAATCAATACACAGAGAAAATTGTCAAAAGTTTTACGTGCAAAATAAGGGGTGAAACATTTTAAAAAGTAAAACGTTTCATACAAATTTATTTTACTTTGCATTTTTAAAACGATTCATTTTTATTTTTAAAACGTTTTTATATGAAAACGGCACCTAAAACGTTGCATAATTTTCTCTGTGTATTTTTGGAAATCCACAGTATACATTAATAAATAAAATAAAATGTGTAATACAAATTTATCATTATACCCGTTACTCGTAGAGTAAAAGGGTAGAAAGAAGCGTTTCCGACCCTATGAAGTGTATGTAGGGTCACTAGCCGAGTCGATCTAGCCATGTCCGTCTGTCCGTCCGTCTGTCTGTCTGTCTGTCTGTCTGTCTGTCTGTCTGTCTGTCAGTCCGTATGAACAATGAGATCTCGGAAACTACAAAAGCTAGAAAGTGAGATTACCCACACATATTCTTGGGCAGCGCAAGTTTATTTCAGCCGAGCGCCACGCCCCCTCCAATGCTCATAACCGCCCACTAACGATTTTAAAATGTGTCTGGCGCCAAGACCTTTAAATATTTTCGAGAAGTATAAATGCAATTTGTTGTGTATATTTATACCTATCGAAATGTAGAAGACATTTTTCAAATCGGACCATTCATTAAAAAGTTATGCGCAATCAAAATGTTATATATCCATCTCCCTCGCACTCCCTTTAGCTGAGTGACGGGTATTAGATAGTCGGGACACCCACCCGACTATAGCGTTCTCTCTTGTTTTTAAATAATGTTGTCAAATGCTAACTTTCTTTCATTAAGATTGTTTTGCTTTAACAAAGTTCAAATTAAATGTTGAAAATTTAAAAGTATTATTTTAAGTGTTGTTATTAGATTCTCTGTTCTCTTATTAGCTTCTCTAACAATTATTATACCCGTTACTCGTAGAGTAAAAGGGTATACTAGATTCGTGCAAAAGTATGTAACAGCTAGAAGGAAGCGTTTCCGACCCCATAAAGTATATATATTCTTGATCAGGGTCACTAGCCGAGTCGATCTAGCCATGTCCGTCTGTCCGTCTGTCTGTCTGTCTGTCTGTCTGTCTGTCTGTCTGTCCGTCTGTCCGTCTGTATGAACGCTGAGATCTCAGAAACTACAAAAGCTAGAAGGTTGAGATTTCCCACACATATTCATTGGCTTCCTACGCAGCGCAAGTTTATTTTAGCCGAGCGCCACGCCCCCTCTAACGCCCACAATCGCCCACTAACGATTTTAAAATGGGTCCTGCGCCCACATCTTTAAAGATTTCCGAGAAGTATAAATGCAATTTTGTTGTGTATATTTATACCTATCGAAATGTAGAAGACATTTTTCAAATCGGACCATTCATTAAAAAGTTATACGCAATCAAAAATTATATATCTATCTCCCTCGCACTCCCTTTAGCTGAGTTACGATTATTAGTCGGGACACCAACCCGACACAGCGTTCGCACTCCCTTTAGCTGAGTGACGGGTATTAGATAGTCGGGACAACAACCCGACTATAGCGTTCTCTCTTGTTTTTCTTTGGATCAATCCATCCAGTCTGACAAATGCAAATCAAATCTAAGTCAAAGAACCATCGTAAAAAAACCAGTTTGAAGGCTTTCAGCACGGACTGTGACGTATTTTTTATACCCGCTACTCGTAGAGAAAAGGGTATATTATCTGGTATCTGCACAGATTTTTTAACAGTTAAAACGCGATTTTGTTATGTTCATCAATACCACTAATTAAAAAAATGTAAGCAAAGAATGGAACAGCTGCTAGATGGAGCGCTTTCAGAAAGTCGCTTTGCTGCGTGCATATCTCCGTTCTTCTCGTCCATTTTTTAGCTGAGTATCAGGTATTTTATAGTCGATGCACTCAACTGTAGCAGTCTCTCTTGTTTTTATACTCAAACGCTTGTCAATCTAACGCGATTAGCAGAAACGAGTTCTAAATTTCTTCAGAAGAGGCGCTTACTGCCGAGTTCAAGTGCAATTAAATGCAGCTAATTGAACCTGAAATCTGAGAGACATATGTAGAACCGAGACGGTGGGAATTTCACATTCAGCGTAGGGCAATACCACACGTTAAATCAATAATGCGGTTTTGCCCGATCCGCAAAAACAAAAACACTGATAAGAAGCGATCGAGGCAAGTCGGCAGAGTATAAAAGCAGATGAATTCGACTGGTTAAGACATCAGTTCAGTTTGCACTTCTGTTCTAGCTACTTCAAAGATGAAATTTCTTTCGGTTGCCTTCCTGCTCGGCCTTTTGGCTCTGACCAGCGGTAAATATGGGCTTTAATAAATTAATTATACCAGTCTAGTAATAATAATAATATTCCTCTAATTAGCCACCCCTCTGAACCCGGGAAATGTCATTATCAATGGAGACTGCCGTGTTTGCAACGTTCATGGCGGAAAATAAGATGGATATTGATGGAAAATAATGCTACGGAACCCACTTCGGCTATTAAAATGGACTTACAAACAGATCAATAAATAATTTCTTATCAATTTTTAATTGGACTACTTGAAATATAAAATTCCCACGCTAATCTCTATGACTGCTGTAATACAAATTTCGATTTAATCTCTGACCTAATTCCGTAGACGATTATACACTCAAATGAACATCTGTCGTCGGGACATTAACATATCATTTCATTAATGCCTGGAACAGTTTGGCATTATTCCATTTATATTCAAGGCCCAAATGGTTGGCTGATTTGGCTGGGAATGCGAGCCTGCGAATGCAGTTCATTGATTTGTTGTAAAACTGTTGCATAATTTCATTCATTTGCTGTCGCCGCATTGCTGGGTGCTTTATTGTCTGGATTAAGGAACATAATGTACACTTAATATGCACATAACTGTTATGTTAATGCGCCAGCGAGACCACACCCCCGGTATTTCTCTTCTCATCGAGTGCCGATTTTCCGTTTTCCCCCATGGTATTTGCATTGATTTATTAGCATTTTCCCAGAGCTGAAAATATGGTGCTTTTTAAAGTTTTCGTTTACTCTTCCCCACACGTTATTTAATACCTTTTGAAAATTGATAATAATGAATATGATATTCTCATTAAAAACTCAGCGTTCAGGGTAATGATATTGGTTTTAATTTCGTCGTTGTCGAAAACTGTAATTTGATGATGTTCAGATAATTTGGGCATTGAAATAAGTAACGGTTATAAGCCCCAATTTCATTAATTTTTCGTTGATGGAAACAATAGAGAATAATTGGTGCTTTTACTAAGAGTTAAACAGAAAGTTGGCTTCATGACTTGGTCATTAAATTAATACCAGATAGGTGTTTAGCCAATAATAATTGTAACCCAAATTAAAACTAATATTGGTTTTAAAATATTCGGTGAACTCTAATAAACAGTTACAAAGACTGTAATTAACAGAGCTAAAGATTCTACAATAATAAATTATTTTTACTCACAAATATCTACATACGGGGAATGATTTTTTCAATTGTATAATTTAAATACGAGACCTTTAAAAGTCCATGAAGCTTACCTGCAATAAAAATAAAGAAAATATATATTAGAGTGATGAGAATATCATTAAGTTGCTACAATATCTGACTTTTTTTTTATATACATATATTAGAGTTTTTCACTCGCTTCAATTGATTCACTCTGCAATTTTGAATGCAGATTTATGTCCCAGAAGCGCCAATAATCAAAATGCATTTTTTTGACTCTACAATTTTTTTTTTTTTTTGGCAACCAAACAGAAATTTCTTTTCACTTTTGCCTCAAACAGAATCACAAAGGAAGCCGTGGTGATGGGGGGCATCATCATCAGCCAACATGAGCTAGAGAGCGAAATAATTTCAGAACCCAAAGAAGCCCAATGCGCATAATTTAACTGAAGAGCCAACGTGCACTGATAAAAAAAAAAGTTTAATTTCAAAATTGTGATTAAGGAAAAAATACTTATATTACATTTTAACAAATATTTCAAAAGGTTCAATGCAAAGTCAAGCGACCTTTTAAATAAGCCGGATATGATGGTATGGTGAAATATTTTTTTCCAGTGTGGTGTGCTGTTGTGGGAGTGTCAGAAGTTAGGGCGTTGACTGCATTTCATTTTGAGTTTTCGACAGCCAGCAAAATGGCAGCATGCTGTGCGGCTGAAAGCCGCAGAAAGGCACTGAAAAGGAGGGTGAGGAGTTTGGGATCGGGGGATATAGCTGGGCCATCTCAACTTCACTTCCCGCGGTGTGTGTGTATGGGTGGGTGGGTGATTGGGTGTGCTTTATCGCATAATCTCGGCCCCTGGGCCTTGGCATCATTTTGGTGATTTTTCTCCTGGTTTCTTTGCAACTGTATGGCCCGATAATGATGTTAATGATGGGTTCGCTGATCTGCTGCATACCTTTTGGCAGTCTGTGGAAACTGTATGCGAAAAGCATTTCGGGAACTCAAAGAAACTTTTTTGTATTTTTAAATATGGATCACAATGTTTTTATCCCTTGTATGTTTGTGCACTTGGGGGTCCTTTTTTGTCTTCCCTTTAGCATAACGTAACGTATATAGGAAAGCTCCCCAGAGTATGCTATAAACATTTTATTGTAACAACTCGTTCAACGTTAAAGACAAAACACTTAAAACGACAGCAGAAAAAGCAAAACAAAACAGAGGAGAGCAAAGAAAACTTTTGCAAACCACATCACAACCCTCCTGTTGGCCAACCCGCTTTTTCCAACCTTTTCCACTGCTGTTTAGCATAAAATTTACTGCACCAAGAAGCATTTGAACGTTGGCCGTGCCCGTAAATCCTACTAATCAAATTTATTACCCATATACAGGCAGACCAACCGCAAGCTATGCCTCTTCCTCGCTCCCTCTCTCTCTAAAGTCCCCTCTTTCTCTTTCCCCTTTGAACTTAGTACCGTGTCTGGCCACTTCAAATGCCTTGGCAATATGCATATTAAATTTAATTAGAGAGACGGGTAAACATAAATTCATCCACAGGAAAACAGAGTCGAGAATGACCAGACTTCAAAGGCAGCTTGGAGCTTTTAGCAGGAAATTTGAAATGATATTGAGTGCACCTTTTCTAAAGTACCTACCAAATAAATATATACCTATCTATATAATATATACTATACTATACTAAATATAGGAACATTCATTTTTATAAACATTTAATTTATTGGATATTAAAAAAATATTACCTACAATTTTTATTTTTTATTTTATTATTCAATAAAAAAATGTATTTTAATGTTTGCAATCCAAAGCCTAAATACACCACTCTATAATATTAAACTAATCGTTTTGTGCAGAAATGGCTGAAAAGCTAAGATATTCCTGAAAATTAATTGCAGCCCAAAAGACCCAAAACGATGGTGGCTTTTTTGGCTAATTATACCCGTTACTCGTAGAGTAAAAGGGTATACTAGATTCGTGCAAAAGTATGTAACAGCTAGAAGGAAGCGTTTCCGACCCCATAAAGTATATATATTCTTGATCAGGGTCACTAGCCGAGTCGATCTAGCCATGTCCGTCTGTCCGTCTGTCTGTCTGTCTGTCTGTCTGTCTGTCTGTCTGTCCGTCTGTCCGTCTGTATGAACGCTGAGATCTCAGAAACTACAAAAGCTAGAAGGTTGAGATTTCCCACACATATTCATTGGCTTCCTACGCAGCGCAAGTTTATTTTAGCCGAGCGCCACGCCCCCTCTAACGCCCACAATCGCCCACTAACGATTTTAAAATGGGTCCTGCGCCCACATCTTTAAAGATTTCCGAGAAGTATAAATGCAATTTTGTTGTGTATATTTATACCTATCGAAATGTAGAAGACATTTTTCAAATCGGACCATTCATTAAAAAGTTATACGCAATCAAAAATTATATATCTATCTCCCTCGCACTCCCTTTAGCTGAGTTACGATTATTAGTCGGGACACCAACCCGACACAGCGTTCGCACTCCCTTTAGCTGAGTGACGGGTATTAGATAGTCGGGACAACAACCCGACTATAGCGTTCTCTCTTGTTTTGATTATTTTACTGCAGCGTTTGGTGTGTGGGGTCCCACGTTAATTGCCTTACAGGCCCACAAACTGGCTAACACACACACACAAATATACTCGTGCCCAACAATTTGTTGTGTGCACTCAATTTAAATGGAGTTCGGTCCCAGTTTGGGGGATACTCTGATAGAATTTTTGCTCATTTTATGCTCTTTCCGGAGTTGCCATGAATGTGACATTAATGAGCTCTTAGCTTATCCCACAGGCAAAAGGCTCTGGAGCTCCTGGCCACACAAGCTTTATGGCTATAATTTGTCCTTGAATTCGAGTAGGGGGTGGCAGTCGGAGGAAGAGCGTGAGTATGTTCATAATTAAATTGTTATTTGGCTAAAGAATATGGCCCTAAAACTGCCTGTTCATTTGAAGGTTATAAAAGGTCGCCCCGAACTCCCGATATTACCACTTATGTGGGTTTCAATGGGCGGGATTAAAAAATTACGTTTACGGCTAAATGAAATCCCCTTTTGTGTGTGGTCATGGCAACCTCTGTTACCCACTATTCGGTGGCCATTCAAAGTGGCTTTTTCGCCCAGGTTCAACAAAAAGGCTCTGGACTGGCTAGTAAAAGTTTTTAATTTCCCTCACCATAATTCGTGCTACATAAGTCAGCTCAAAAGTGAACTCTATAAACTTGGAATTAATTCCATTAACAGCATTTCCCCAAGGATTTTCGTGAAAGTCCCTTTTACTTGAAGGAGAATGAAGATCGTATATAACTTGATTGCTTATTATTTGACTGTAGGGAGAAAGTTCCACAAGCATATCATTAACGGCGGTCAGGAGATTATTAACTTAATCGAGAGACCTAAAACTTAATGTGGATTAAATAAATCTTATTAATAAACTGACATGTCAATGTCACATGTCAATCTATGGTAAAATGGATATATAATGGAAAAATAATACAATAAAATAAAATATTTAAGAAAATGGTATTTTATTTTTAATTAATTAATGAATTTAATAACGAAAGAAAACCAAAATATTAAAAACACACAAATAAATAACAATACAAACTAATTTTTGATGAGCGGGTCATTAAAGCCGCCAAATCTCATTAAAGTCTTATCGCACACCCCCGAGTTCCCCAAGCCGCCCAATTTGCAGTGCCAGATTGAGATTTATATGCCTCATGGAGTGCATCCCATAAATCTCGATCCCAGGCCCACACTTACATGCTCGTTTGATGTCAACCTTAAATGTTTGAGAAGAGAGGAGGTTAAATGCCACAAAACACCTCAATGTATCTATGATGAGCCGACATGCCGCCAATCGGTGCCGCATTTTGGGCGGCATAATGAAGTTGCATTCACCAGGGCGTTACGCAATCAACAAAAATATATACACACGACCCCAGACACACGGTGATTTTATCTAAATCAATTCAATGAAAGCTCCAGCCAAATGCAGGCAGCCAGATATGCAGACAGGCAGAAGGAAGTAACGTCCCGCATGGGTTTCTGGATGATGATGATGACGACGATGCTGGCAAACAGAGCTAAAAA